GGAAATCTGTGTGTTCTTTTTGTTTATTATGTTCCCATCTCCATATCTGCCTCAGCCTTCAGAAATGCCTACTATCCATATATTAGATCTCCTACATGAGTCCTTCAAGCTCTTAACGTTTCCTCATGCTTTCCAAATCTCAATGTTTGTTCGTTTCCCAAGATAGCTGTTTTTATCAAGTCGTCTTCTCAAGCCACTAATCTCGGCCTGCATCTGTGGCCATCTTCTCTTCAATGTATCTAATATGGATATTTTTCATTAAAAGAATTATTGGCCGGGCTAGGTGGCTCACGCCTGTAATCCTAGCACTCTGGAGGCCGACGGCGGCGGATTGGCCCAAGGTTTCAGGAGTTCGAAACCAGGCCTGAGTGAAGAACCCCGTCTCTACTGAATAATAAAATAAATTAATACAATAACAATTATATATACAAAAAAATGAAGCCAGGCATGGTGGCATCCGTAGTCCCAGCTAACTCGGGAGTGAAGCAAGGAGATCTTGAAACCCGGATGAGGTGCTGGTGAGCTAGGCTGGACGGCACAAGCACTCACTCTAAGCCTGGGCAACAATATGAGATCGTCTCAAGAAAAAAGAAAATATATAATAATATTGGTGAGAAATGAAGTAAAATCCTATGTTATACAAGAAAGGCTTGGTGCTCTAAATCAGGATATCTGTAAATGTTCCTATATTTTGCTAGATAGGAATGAAGAGAGTCAACTATTGTCTGCTCCACCACAGTTCTTTTGACTAGGAACCATCTCTTCCAAAATGTTCTCTGCTTTCCTTCTCTAGCTAACCTGGGTTCTGGTAACCCATTGCTTTTTTCCTGGAATACGTCCCTCTGGCAGCTGGTGTTTGGGCCCAGCTGCCAGAGCACCTTACGTGGAGACAAAGTTCTGGGCGGGAAGTGTGGTGAGCTCCAGGCAAGCTGTCAGCCCCTGCTCATGCATCAGGAAATAGTGTCTCTCTCTCTTCTCTCTCTCTCTCTCTCTCTCTGTCTCTCCCAGTGACCCAGTCCATCTTTTCAACTCTCCCATGTCCCCTTAAGGACTGAAGAGGTAGTGACAAGAAGTCAACAATCACACAGGTGGCAGCACCTCCTTATTGAGCAGATCCAAAAGAGCCTGCACCTAGCTCTTCTTCTTTTAGTTTATTTATTTTATTATTGAAGACCGTCCAACTCTGTTGCCCAGGGCAGGTGAGGCTGGCATTCAGCCTAGCTCACAGCAAACCTAAAACTCCTGGGCTCAAGCATCCTCCTGTCCTCAGCCTCCCAAGGGCTGGACTACAGCGTATGTGCCACCAACCCGGCTCATTTTTATAATAGTATATATAGTTGCCAATTAATTCTGTCTATTTATAGTGAGAGACGGGTCTCCCTCTTGCTCAAGGGCTGGTCTCCCAACTCCTTGACGTGAATAGCGGATCGCTCCCCCGGCCTCCCAGGAGTGCGGAGAAGCGTGAGCGCAGCGCCTGGCCTAAGCTCTCTTCTTTAGATGTACCACTCTCGTAAGGTTCTTCAACCACGACTTGGCGCGGTGCGCCGTTCTCTCGTGGTCACTGGCGGGGCGAAATATCCATAATCATTGTCCCAACGGAATCCAGGGCAGGTGAGGCATCCCTTTCCCCAGATGCCATGTGCCTGCTGTGACTTAGGAAGGAAAATCATGAGAGTGAACTGCAAAGTGGAGAGAGGGTGTCAGAAGGTTGAGTTAAGTTTTATTGCCGCGTCTGGTTCCCCTCAGAAGGACACGGAAAAATGAGATTTGGGAGGCGGAGATCGCTCAATCAGGAGGTTCGAGACCAGCGCTGGAGCAAGAGCGAAGCATTCCCGTCGTCTCACTATAAATAGAAAGAAATTAATTGGCCAACTGAAATATATAGAAAAATAGCGCGTGTGGTGCTCATGCCTGTAGTCCAGCTACTCGGAGGGGTGAGGAGGAGGGATTGCTTGAGCTCCAGAGTTGAGTTGCTCTGTGAGCGACTGACGCTATGCACCGACTATAGCTCTGGCAGCAGCAGTAACTCTGCTAAAAAAAAAAAAAAAAAAAAAAGAGAAAAATATATATATGTACTCAACCATGAATGGGGTCCATAATCTCCTGGAATTGCCATCTAATTCTATCTATCTATCTATACTTTCCTGTGGAGTTTGTTCATAGGTTTTTATCAGATTCTCAAGGAGATGTTTAGAATCACAGTCTCACAGAATCCTCCTAATGTGCCAGTTAGTCCCTTGTAGTTTGTTCTAAGTCCAATAGGTAAAGAGGGTGTCACAGTCTCTCGGACACCAGCGATTAGAAGTAAATATCTTCTATTTCTGGTTCTACACAGGAGTCATTGTACAGTGGGTTACTGGACATGGAAGACTGCTCTTTGGAGAGAGGGCAAGGGGACCTAGAAGGAGATGGCTGAAAGAGAAATAAAATAAATAGAAACATAGTACAACAAATATGAATAATATTACTCAATTCTAAGAAGTGACAGTGAGCTAGCACCGCTTATACTATCCTGGATTGAGCTTAAGCCCATTATCCAAAGTGAGGGGACACAAGATCAGGGAAATGGGCTCCACGTGTACTCGCCATCAAATTGGTACTGACTGATCATCACTATGGTGCTCAAAGGGTGGTGGGGTTCACCAGGGATTCAGGGGTTGGGGGGGTAGACCCACATCTGAGGGATGTGGTGAGCATTGTGGAGGGGAAGGGCATACCCCTAACCCTTGCTAGGGAGAGGCAAAGATATAAAATGTAACCAAAATGTTAAAAAAAATAATAATTTATCGGGTGTGGGGCAGGGGGGAGGGGGGAGGAGGGGACGGGTATTTACATGCATAATGAGTGAGATGTGCACTGTCTTGGGGATGGACACGCTTGAAGCTCTGGCTCAAGGAGGGAGGGGAGACAAGGGCAATGTATATAACCTTAACGTTTGTATCCCTATAATATGCTGGAAAAAAAATAATAACCTCCATAGGGTGGCAAAAAGTAACAAATATAAAACAGTTGTGAGTTCAATGAGTTCAGAGATAAGAATTCAAGAGAGAGCTTTCAGAAGAGAAAAGTTTAAAGCTGTAAAGACACCTTTGTTTCCCCTCCAAAATAAAGTGGGGAGAAGGAGGGCTAGTTTAAAATTTCTTAAGTTCTTGCAGTGATGAGTTGATGGTGACCCCTTGACACTTGGCATTCTAAATGTCAAATGTATTATTATTCCTTCGCTCTTGGAAACATGTTACTGGCTTTAATCAAAAGTAGGTCAGCACAATGTCTACTACAAGGAGCTTATATGGCTACCTTTGAAACACAAGCCCTGGCAATTTTAATGGGAAAAAAATATATTTGATGCTTTTTTATTTGAGGTAGATATAAATAGAAAATAAATTTAGAAGGATCTTCTTTGTCTCTAGCTGATAGAAAGGGGAAAGCACAGCCTTCACTATGCCTTAAATTATTTTTAGATTTTTAAATATATGCATATCTTCTTTTTATGCAAGTTACTCATACACGACCATAGCCCAGCAAGGCCACTGGCAGGTGGGAGCAGAGTGGAAGAAAGAAGAGAATAGTCCGTCAACGCAGGATCTTCTTGCTGAAGAGCTGAGGGTGGATCCTTCTGTAGTCCTCTACTTATTCCCCTTAAACTAACTGAAGCTCACCATCATAAGCAAAAAGATATAAAAAGTATATCAAGAATTTATATAATGCTAAAACAAAGAATTTATATAATGCTAAAATGTTCACCTATTTATTAGTTATAATAATATTAGCTATCACCAAAGATATGAATAGAAGCTTGCCTAATTTTCTAAAAGAAATGTGCATTTCTTTTTAAGATGTCTTGATCATTTAAAGGGTATATACAAATTTGCTCTTTCATTATACCCCATTCCTATTATGCTCTTTCATTATGCCCCATACCCTATCTGTTCCCATTTTAACAAATAATGTGCTCAATTATTATTACTCACTGTTGTTGTTGCTCTTGTTAAACAATGCGTAGCCAAAAATCTATGATCCAGGCACCTGGAATCCAGCCATCCCCTAATTTAACCAAAGAGTGCATGTTTGGTAGACACAATGAGAATAAATATGCAGCAGTGATACAACATATCACTAAATGAACCAGAGTTTATGGTCCACCAGAGCCAGATGCATACGATTTCTCAGGGCAGCTGCTACCCACCCACCAGAAATGGCACTCCACCTGTGACCTCTATGCCATCCTGATTTAAGGCAATGCCACTTTACCAACTCTCGCTGGGAACTTTTCCTCCAGCTCCCAGTCTTCCAGACAAATTTCTAGACCAACTGATGCCTTGGCCCGTTTACAGGACGGGGGATGAATGCAGAACATAAAAGAAAGACAAAAAGAAAGACACAGACACACACAAAGACGGTTACAAGACTCGAGTGCCGAATGCACTGGGTCAGTTTATTTTAATACTCTAAAAAATTAAAGTTAGTTCCCTGTACATGACCACCCAGGCATTAGAGCAATGGCCATAAATTCCGGAACACGTAGCCTTACTCAAGGTTTCCAGGTGGTTGCTCTAGGTGCCAAGCATAGATCACAGACCAAGATTAGCAAGGCCCTCCTTGCTAGGCAGCCATGGTTCCTTCGGGTTGACTCCCTGCGGCTGTGCCTGTCTTAGGTTGCCCCTCCCTTGAGGGGTCTTACCTGTCATTGACTAACCAGCCATCTTATGGGGTTCAGCAGCAATCACAGGAACAATGTGTTTATCGTGTGGCCTCCAGACCCCCACTGCCGTGGGGCTGGGCAGCTCTCGCCTTAGTGCAGAAACTCAGGCCCTTTGTTATGCCTCCAGGCAGCAACCTTGTTTGTCACAGGGACTCTGTGTCCGGAACACATTACTCTCAAAGTCTCTGGGCAGAGCACTTACATTACTCACTGAATTTCATTCTTAAACCGGGAAAGCATAATGTCAGTCCCCAACAAACTGAACTCTGCTTGACCGTGCTGCGCTTCTTGGTTTCAGACGGCTACACCACTGACGACATCGAGTTCTACTGGAACGGAGGAGAGGGAGCAGTGACCGGCGTCAACAAAATTGAGCTTCCGCAGTTTTCCATTGTTGACTACAAGATGGTGTCCAAGAAGGTGGAGTTCACAACAGGTGAGCCCGTTTCCCCAAAAATGAACGAGAGTGCCATGAAAAGGAAGAAGGTGGTTCCAACCAAATGATGATCTGATTCTTTTATCTTTTTTTTTTATTTATTTATTTTTCAACTCAGGGGCATATCCACGACTGTCACTAAGTTTTCGCCTAAAGAGAAACATTGGATACTTCATTTTGCAGACCTACATGCCTTCTACCCTGATTACAATCCTGTCCTGGGTGTCTTTCTGGATCAACTACGACGCATCTGCAGCCAGAGTTGCACTAGGTAATGCGTTCCTGGCACCGCGGAGAGAACGACGGGTTTGGCTTTCAAACAAATACCCAATATTACAAATTACAGAAAAGGGCCCTCAGGTAGCAAGCGAAAGCATTAGATTACCATAAGAGCCCAAGAATATTAAACATTTAAGTGTAAGCATGTTTACAATGAATGTTTTGCAATGTACTGTCTTTTTTAGCCTTTTACCAAAATTGAAAAAAAAAAAAACTGAACATTAAGCCCATCGTCAATGGGTTTCATGGAACATATTTTAAATGCTCATTACACTAATTTTTGCCAATCGTGTGATGACTTCCTCTTTGAACTCTCCTTTTTTCAGTAGGGAAACCTTGTACAAGCGGTTATTTTCAGACGGATTGTGAGAAAGCTAAACCTCATGGCTATTAACAAGCTATGTCAGTTGCTGGGGAATATTAAATACTATCTTTTGAAGGCTTACCCTAAAAAGTTAAATCATATGCAAAGGCTGGCGTTCTTTCCTTTAGCATGCGGAGCTTGTAGTGATGGTTTCAATAAGGCACAGCCAATTCACCAAGTATATTAATGATCTGTGGTTAAGAAAGAGGAAAAGAATGATTTTCTTCCTGGGGGAACAAAATTCAGAATTAATCTTACCATGCTTGAGTGATTGCTGAAAGCTGAAAGGCTGTATTTGGAGCTTTTAAAGGGTCTAGGAACTGTAAAGGTTCTGGTCTGTGATTGAATCTTGGGGCCTATGTTGTAAGTCTGGCGGGCTCATTATTGTTTGAGCCTAGAGCCATTTCAGTTATCATTTTTGGGGGACTCTACTTGTGGGGATCATATTCTCTCTCAGTCTCTCCTCTTCCCTCTCTCTCTCCCTCTCTTCTCATCTCCCCTCCTCTCTCTCTGCTGCCTCTTTCTCTCTCGTCCCTCTTCTCCCTCTCTTCTCTTTCTCTCTCTCTTTCCCTCTCTCTCTCCTTTCCCTCTCTCTCCCTCCTCTCTATCCCTCGTCTGCTTTCTCTTCCTCTCTCTTTCTCTTCTTCCCTCTCTCTCTCTGCTTATTCTCTCTCTTTCCCTCTCTCTCCCTCTCTCTCTTCTGCCTCTCTCTCCCTCTCCTGTCCTCTCCCTCTCTCTCTCTTTTCTCTCTCTCTCTTTCTCTCTCTCTCTTTCTCTCTCTCCCTCTCTCTCTTTCCCTCTCTCTCCTCCTCTCTTTCTCTCTCTCGCCCTCTCTCTCTTTCTCTTTTTCTCCTCTGTTCTCCCCTCTCTCTCTCTCTTCTTTCCCTCTCTCTCCCTCTCTCTCTCCTTCTCCCCCTCCCGTCTCTCCCTCTCTTTCTCTCTCTTTCTTTTCTCTTTTCTCCTCTCTCTCCCTCTCTCTCTCTCTCTCCCTCTCTCTCTCTTTCTCTCTCTCCTCTCTCTCTCTCTTTCTCTCTCTCCCTCTCTCGTCTCTGCCCTCTCCTCTCTCTCTCTCTCCACCCGCGTCTCTCTCTCCTCTTTCGTCTCCCTCTCCCATCTCCTCTCTCTCTTTCTCTCTCTTCCCTTCTCTCTTCTCTCTCTCCCCTCTCTCTCTCTCCTTTCTCTCTCTCTCCTCTCTCTCGTCCGTCATCTGCTCTCTCTCTCTCTCTCCTCTCTCTCTCTTTTCTCCTCTCTCTCACACTCACACACACACACACACACACCAAGCCATCAGTGTGTTCTGGCCTCGGGATGCCGTGGAACCATAGCTACATCATTCTCCTTGAGAACTTACTGGAGGCTTGGATTAACAATCCGGGGCATACCTTTCTCCGCTATTAGACTAATGTGCATTCTCTACACAGCCTTACTTCTGGTTGGCGCTCCGAATACGTTTGGGCCTCACAAAGTCAAGTATTTGCAGCCCTTTATCAATCTTTGAGCATTCTAAGATTAAAGAAAGCAAACAAATTGTTAATCATATCATACATATGTATCCGGACATACTACTTGGGCAACTGGGTGAATTATGCGTTACACTTTGGTTAATGGAAAAACACTGGATCATGTTCACAACAGGGAATCATAACTAGAAAGTTCATGAATTGTGGCTCTCTTTATACTTCTGTACTCAAAGCTAGTAATATTTTGACTTGAGATATTAGACATGCCAGCATACAAAGGATGCTGCGGTGTGAGACTAATTCTCTTGGTATGTAAGAGCTGAGATATTTTTTAACATATATAATTTAAAATGACAATTCGTCTTACCCAACCTTTTTGGGCCCTTAAAATGGCCCTAAAATGTAAGGAATAAGAAGCCAAAGGACGCAGTTAGTGATTTTGTAAATGAACTGTTCATTTCTTTCAAGCACATTAGCCAGAATTATATTAGGTGAGATATAAAGTTTTATTCAGAGAAATAAGTAAGACCCACTTGTGATAGCATTCCTTATGAGTCCAGAACAATAGAATTCACCTCCTCTCTGAACCATTTTAACTTTTTGTACGGTAGTCTTGACTTTCTATTTTGTTTGTTTTCCTAAACGTTGAATAGTCAAATCATGAAATCTGAACATGGAGAATAATGTGATTTGCAAATGGGTGCTAAACTATTTTCCCCTTATT